GTAGCCTGACCGACTTCTTTGAAAAAATGCACATGTATCTCCTCGTTCATGTAATTCTATTCCATGAAAATAAAAGTTTTCATTTACAAATATTGTAATAAAGCATGGAAACCTCTTTTTTCTTTACCTCTTTCATAAAATGACAAATGCATATCACCTACATACTGCAAGACTCTGCATTAGGTAGCATAGCTGCACTAAGCAGTGTTGATAACTTATTGCCATTCTACTTTCACTTTGACCTTGAACTTCACTGAATACTGATTCCGACCTCATTTCTGAACTTTTGTGTATTGATGATAATCAATAGTGGTGGATGTACTTCTAAAATAATTGTTCCTTTTCTAAATATCTATTAATGGCTCGGAATTAATAAATTGTATAGAATCGATACATTTAATTTACATGCTACATGTGTACACAATGGGAGATATGCGCATAAGCTGTCTGTTCCTAAAGGGGGGGGGGGGGAGGGGTATTAACAAATCGATTTGTTTCAAAATATGTATAAACAAATTAAAATTTGCTTCTTTCATAAATTTAAACAATTGGAAATGATAGTAAACACCGAGTTCAAAACAAAGTAAAGATCTATGAGAATTTTCTCTTACCAATAGGCTTCACATATTGAAAAGAATTTTCTGGATTTTACAACATTTAACATCATAAGTCATACTACAGACTATGTAGTGACATTATGCCAAATTTCAGGAAAATTCAATCATTAATAAAGATTTTACAGCATGCACAGTTCTATATGCAAAATTCTTTTAAAATGCTTCCATCTAGCCTCAACTGCACCCAAATTTTAAGTCATCGGTTAGCCTATTAATGTACTTATACCATTTTTATTCTCTTTCATAATTTTAAATACATCAAGCAAAATCATAATCAAGCACTCATACGGGTCCATTTCTCTTATTTTAAAAAATCAATGCATTTTTGCACAAAATTTTATATCCCTCACCCTTGAATTCATTATTTCTCCATGATTGACAAAAAAATTAAGTTTACAAATACCCCGAAAGTAGTAAAAATAGAAAGTACTGATTATTTCCTGTCCATTGATGCATCATTCAGGAAAATTGGTATAGGAATAAAGAAATTATAAGCCCTTATATTCTTGTAAACATTCATCTGTTTCAAAGCAATTTTTACGCCAATGCAAGGTCACTCATCTATGACGTCATAATGACATCATAATAATGGATTGCTTATTACACATGTAGTGTTACTTTTCCCGTACTTTTAATTAAAGTTGAAATTAGAACTAAAATATTCATTTTAACTATAAAATAACAAAAATACTTGCATGAGCAGATCAAATAAATAGTCTACAGAAAATGTTTTGTTTCCATGGTAACCATTTTGTAATTTGTAGGAAAATGAAAGAGAACTTTGAAAGTTTTGAATTTCCTTACAAGTCTCTCATTCTGACTGACAAATATTAAAGAAATTTCAACTCTTATATTTTTTAATCTTAATATTTTATCATACACAACACTATGAATGTAACTGTTTTGAAATTCTCTTTAAAACATATTAGCTGTAAAATATATAGCATACATGTACAGATTAGTTTGATGTTCACTTTCATTGCTCAAATATTCATTTGAAATCTACATTTATTAAGCTTTAACACCCCCCCCCCCCTCCTCCCGCACACACACACATACACACAAAGAAGCTTTAGAAAATTCAACTTACATATTAAAAGTACTGCCATCATTTTATATATGAAGACTCAAGCTGTGTTCAAATGAGTTTGTTTTTCCTGACTGATAGTTTTAAACACTATCTGCATGAACCTCAAAGTTAACCTGTATCACCATGAACCTAAAAAAAAATCAATTTAAAAAATGGTGCAATAATTAATCAGCATCAAAAAGCACCTAAAACATTCACAGACAGACATCAAACACACACAATCCTACAACATTCCCTGATGCCCTTAATTTGATATCAATTGAAAATTATGAATTTGCACTGATTAGTCTCAGCATTGTTAAATTACATGTAAATTAATAATACAGGTAAAAAGCATGTAACTGACAATAATTATACATTAGACAAATACATGTAATCCAGTTAATAAAATATAAAAAAAAAAAAAATGTTAGTGTGCATGTTCACACACACACTGCTTAACTTCTACACAACTGTAGCCTGACCGACTTCTTTGAAAAAATGCACATGTATCTCCTCGTTCATGTAATTCTATTCCATGAAAATAAAAGTTTTCATTTACAAATATTGTAATAAAGCATGGAAACCTCTTTTTTCTTTACCTCTTTCATAAAATGACAAATGCATATCACCTACATACTGCAAGACTCTGCATTAGGTAGCATAGCTGCACTAAGCAGTGTTGATAACTTATTGCCATTCTACTTTCACTTTGACCTTGAACTTCACTGAATACTGATTCCGACCTCATTTCTGAACTTTTGTGTATTGATGATAATCAATAGTGGTGGATGTACTTCTAAAATAATTGTTCCTTTTCTAAATATCTATTAATGGCTCGGAATTAATAAATTGTATAGAATCGATACATTTAATTTACATGCTACAACCCGTACGAACAAGTGAGGCGTAAACCAGCTGGATGAGACATGGAAACCAGCTGGTTTCTAGACGGAATTCAGAATTACGTGTCTTTACCAGGCGTACATGAGCAGGACACGTATTCCTGCTCTTTGCACACACGGAATACGTGTCATTTTCCGCCTCTTGGGCCAGGCGTAATTCTTGTATCAGGCGTAACTTTTTAAAACCAGGCGTAATGCTGAACTTAGTAAAATTGGTAAGGCGTAATGTTGGACTTAGAAAAATTAGTGAGGCGTAATGTTGGACTTAGAAAAATTGGTGAGGCGTAATGTTGGTCTTAGAAAAAAATAGAAAAGGTACAATGTAGGCAAAACATTATATTTCACTTTTCTTTTGTTAACAATAAGTCCATTGGCAATATTTACAGTGAAATACTTTATAGATTAGAAAACTTTAAGATAAATATTTCAGCATTTGTGTTTGTCCTTCCCAACATCATTGTTGAGCTAAGATAATTTCTAGCTGAAATTACAGTCCCATCACAGATGTCCTTATAAGTTCCACCAGCTATATTTCTGTTAAACCACTCTTGCATTTTGCTTTAAAAAAATCCATCTTGAAAAAAAATAGATTGTGGAGTAGATTTATAACAGGTATTTCCAGAAAGAAGTTTTTGGCTTCTTAAATGGTGTTTGACAAAATACCTTTAGACAGATGACACAATCAACATTTTATTGGCCCCCAAACAACGATGACAATGAAAGTGGTAAGCACCATCACAAAGGTTCCTTAGTTGATTTTTTTTTGGACTTTTACTGTTAAATGCATATATGTCAAATGGTATATGAAATGTGTTCTGCTAGCATCACATCTCAAATTATGTTCAAAAGTTGTTGGATTCATCATCTATTTTTGGTACAAATCACAGCAAGCACTAACATGAATACTCTTATTGAAATACGGATGTTACAGAGCAAAGAATGAAGTTGGAAGTCTTGATCATCATGCTCCGTAACATTGCAATTTCTTCAGTGATATCATCCAAAATGTATTCCTCTTCATCAGATAAATCAGAAAAGAGAATAATATCCTCTTCATTATCAGAAAAATCCTCATCACTAAATTTTATGTATCTTTTTGGCAGTTGGGGTTCTTTGTTTCTTAAATGTTGTCATGTTACTCATCAAATCGTCCAGCTCAGACTCTTCATGGTCAGACATCTAATTCAAGAATAAAACACTACTATTATCCAGTTAATCAAATGCATGCAAGTGAACATTAATTTAATCAACTAAAATAAATATATTTTTAAAAACCAGAAATTGGTGTGGAGGTTGTATTGTTACAAGCTAATCAATATGTACAAAAAAATAATTAATTTTCTTTAAACATATTGAGAAAAAAAAAATCGATGAGAACTCATTCGTATTTTTTTTCTCTTGCTTTACATGTACTGTATGATCATCAACAGCTGATCAAGTAGCAGGGATCTATATACGTCCCTGCAAGTTGCAAGAAGTAAATAATTTGTGATCTAATAGTAAAGCGATACAAACAAAACAAAACAATGTTATTTAAGGTGACCTACCTCGCTCATGATGATTATTTCTGCGCCATCGTCTTCTAACTTTAGAGTCGATTTAGTTCCGAGATAATTCGGGTTGCAATCTGTAAAACGGAAGTAACATTCTATTAAATTGATTGTCGATCCCGATATATGTAGGTCGATCTTTTTTTTCTTTTCTTTTTTTTATTAAAAAAAACTGTAAAATACTTACCGATATCAGTTTCCTAGAATCTTCTACTGTTTTCGCGCAATCAATGATTCCTGTTCTTGTTATTTATGTCGGCAAATTTACACATTTCGATCACAAATTCTGTACCTTGTAATGCATCTCATATTTTAAATCTCCATCGTTCCATAAATTAACTTGAGCTGAAATTTGCTAAATTTTACAAACGCTTTCCGTAAGTAACCTTCTTTATTTTGTTTGGTTATTCCATGATTTTCCAGTGTGCCGAGAACAACTGTAAACTAAGGTGTTTTCTCAGAGGCCAAGGAGTATTCTCTATTGAGAAGTTGCTGGCTCGTTTAATACTCCCCCTCAACCGAGCCAGCAACTTCTCAATAGAGAATAGCCAAGGAGAATCGCCTTACAAAATGACCTCAGTGAAATTTATTGATCTACACATTGATTTTGCATCTTAAAAAAAAAAAAAATCGACAAATTAATACTAAAAGAACGCATTTTTTATTTTGAGAGATTATTTTGGGGAAAATTTGTAATAGCTTTTGTATCGATCCCGTCGTGAACCTCAACAGTAGAGCATCTTCGAACCGGGGCTGCAGAAACTTGATATCCCACGCTATCAAAATCCCGCCCGCATGGTCATTTCAAATTTTGTTGCTTTGAAAGAAACATTGCCCTGCCGATTTCTACTTATTTCTGACAACTTGGTTTTACTTGAAAGTGAAAATACTTCGATGAGGATTGCAGTTTGACTGTCGTGGGAGAAAAAGACAAAACGTTGACAATAAGGACGGAATTCGAAGTGAGATACCATCATTCATGGCCCCATCATCAGTGGTAAGAATTTTTTAGATTTTCATACTCATGATACTCCAGCGAGGTTAACACTTTGAAATATATCATATAGTATTATCTATAAAAATTTAAGAAATGTGCTTTGAAAATCATTTTGTTAACATGTATAATGATTAGATTACATGTAGCATTCGTGTTTGTTTACGCATGGAGACCTGTCGTATTTGTAAACTACTGCTGTTCTATACTCCATGATTTTTTTTTAAAATTATCTTTCTATCGCATAATTATCATTTTTAGTATTTATCATTTCGAAAAAATATATACAAAACAAAAAATATACGAGGCATTTTCCACTTTTTTTTTTTTTTAAAGTCGGGTTCAAGATTAGGGAAATATAAAGTCGCATGGATCACAACATGGTATGATGGTATGAATTATAAATTTGCCACACGGCGCGGTGGCTGTCTTAAAAATTTTACTAGACAAAATAATTACAGTAATTTTAATCAAAAGCTGTCCTGATAACAAATAGAGTGCACTTTCTGATAAGCTGACCATGTTAATATGGTTAAGGTGATGTTTAATGGGTTGCTACAATGCATAGGTGGATCGGAAACTTTTCATACCCAATCAATATATATATATATATATATATATATATATATATATATATATATATATATATATATATATATATATATATATATATATATTCTCATAAGTTTCTTGTATTCGTTCCTTCCTACTGACTTACAAGGGGTCTGTTTTGTGTTTCTTAAAAAGGGGGGGGGGGGTCAAGCTCAGATATGCTACACAAAGCTCACATTTCTTGGTGATAATTTTTTTTATATGTGTGTGTATTTGTAGATGATGAAGAGGAACTAACAAAGTTTGCTATTCGGCATGCAGCAAATTATTAGGAAACTTGCAGGAGAAAGCAAAAGATATTCCAGAGAGACTGTTTAATTTCTCAATCTAAACACAGAGAAAGCAAATGGGAAGAGAACAAGGGCTCCAACAGACAAAATAAAAGAAATTAAGGAACATGATGAAGAGTTTATCCCAAATAAGAAGAAGAAAAACACTGAGGATACAAGAGAGAAGAAACAGGAGCTAAGTCCCAAGGAAAAGAAGATACCAAGTCACAAAACTCCTCCCTTGAGAAAACACTCTACTACCAACATTCTTTCATTGGTAGTAGTAGTAGATATTAGCATTTCATCCCATGGAGGATTGTGTTGAGGTTAGATAATAATAAAAAAATAAAAACCTAAATAAAGTATTTGTAAAATACGCATTCAATATTTGATATATTTAACTATATGCACGACTTTAATATATTTCTATTCCTATCATCCAGATAATCAAGAAGCAAGCTTCCTGTGTCCAAATCCTCCTTCTTCAGAAAAACCAAGGGAGAATGACCAGGATATTTCACCCCCTGGAATATCTGAAAGGGTAAGATTTTCATGCCCCCAATTGAAGGATTGGGGATATATAGTGTTTGGTCTGTCTGTTTGTTTTCCTGTCAACCCATTATGTAATACAACAATTTTTTTTCTCTAATTGTAAATACTGATCTTGTTGGACATAATGCATGTGATTTCAGACCTACATTAAAGCATGGCTACAATTTTCCTTCAGGTTATGCCCTTTAGTGGTGTGGAGAAAATGAAGGAAAAAAGTGAACCAAGAACTGAACAATGCCATCACAGAGCAAGTCTCATTGCAGGACAAAAATTTAAAAAGGAACATGGGAAAGAAAAATATGAGAATGCTAAGAAGAGCTCAGTGCATGATACAAGCTAAGCTAATGTAAAACACACTTATTGCGAAGTACAATGAATGAACAATTTTGATTAGGCGTAGTTCATTATATCCATTAAGTTCACAGCAATATTCTAAAATTTAAGGAAATGAAAATCACTATAACCATGAATTCATTATAAGCATCTCTGCTGTAATACAAAGTCATCAGAGATTGGTACACTGTATTTTCAAGATAATTTATAATTTTTGTATAATACAAATTTTGAGTTTTCCTTAAATGGGAAGATTTATTAATGTAAAGTTTATTTGAATGACATTTTGTTGTCCATCAAAATGTTAAGAAAAACTGCCTTTGAATGTTATTTAAATTGATAAAAAGATATGGGTGTTTTGATAAAATAAATACTTAGTTTTCAAAACATGTAATGTATTTTGTATATATCATTGTGTATTGCATGCCTGGAATTTTTTACGCCTGGACATTTTTACGCCTGGACAGTACGATCCTTAACGCCTGGTCTATTGAAGAGACGTAAAATTTGCATATTACGCCTCTTTTTACGCCTGGTTTCCGTCTCATTTGACGCCTGGTTTACTTATATGGTATTGAGTCAAAATCCGCCTGGTTTTTGCAGAGCATGACGCCTGGTTTACGTGTTATTACCAGGCGTACAATTTCGTACAGGATGTGTACACAATGGGAGATATGCGCATAAGCTGTCTGTTCCTAAAGGGGGGGGGGAGGGGTATTAACAAATCGATTTGTTTCAAAATATGTATAAACAAATTAAAATTTGCTTCTTTCATAAATTTAAACAATTGGAAATGATAGTAAACACCGAGTTCAAAACAAAGTAAAGATCTATGAGAATTTTCTCTTACCAATAGGCTTCACATATTGAAAAGAATTTTCTGGATTTTACAACATTTAACATCATAAGTCATACTACAGACTATGTAGTGACATTATGCCAAATTTCAGGAAAATTCAATCATTAATAAAGATTTTACAGCATGCACAGTTCTATATGCAAAATTCTTTTAAAATGCTTCCATCTAGCCTCAACTGCACCCAAATTTTAAGTCATCGGTTAGCCTATTAATGTACTTATACCATTTTTATTCTCTTTCATAATTTTAAATACATCAAGCAAAATCATAATCAAGCACTCATACGGGTCCATTTCTCTTATTTTAAAAAATCAATGCATTTTTGCACAAAATTTTATATCCCTCACCCTTGAATTCATTATTTCTCCATGATTGACAAAAAAATTAAGTTTACAAATACCCCGAAAGTAGTAAAAATAGAAAGTACTGATTATTTCCTGTCCATTGATGCATCATTCAGGAAAATTGGTATAGGAATAAAGAAATTATAAGCCCTTATATTCTTGTAAACATTCATCTGTTTCAAAGCAATTTTTACGCCAATGCAAGGTCACTCATCTATGACGTCATAATGACATCATAATAATGGATTGCTTATTACACATGTAGTGTTACTTTTCCCGTACTTTTAATTAAAGTTGAAATTAGAACTAAAATATTCATTTTAACTATAAAATAACAAAAATACTTGCATGAGCAGATCAAATAAATAGTCTACAGAAAATGTTTTGTTTCCATGGTAACCATTTTGTAATTTGTAGGAAAATGAAAGAGAACTTTGAAAGTTTTGAATTTCCTTACAAGTCTCTCATTCTGACTGACAAATATTAAAGAAATTTCAACTCTTATATTTTTTAATCTTAATATTTTATCATACACAACACTATGAATGTAACTGTTTTGAAATTCTCTTTAAAACATATTAGCTGTAAAATATATAGCATACATGTACAGATTAGTTTGATGTTCACTTTCATTGCTCAAATATTCATTTGAAATCTACATTTATTAAGCTTTAACACCCCCCCCCCCCCTCCTCCCGCACACACACACATACACACAAAGAAGCTTTAGAAAATTCAACTTACATATTAAAAGTACTGCCATCATTTTATATATGAAGACTCAAGCTGTGTTCAAATGAGTTTGTTTTTCCTGACTGATAGTTTTAAACACTATCTGCATGAACCTCAAAGTTAACCTGTATCACCATGAACCTAAAAAAAAATCAATTTAAAAAATGGTGCAATAATTAATCAGCATCAAAAAGCACCTAAAACATTCACAGACAGACATCAAACACACACAATCCTACAACATTCCCTGATGCCCTTAATTTGATATCAATTGAAAATTATGAATTTGCACTGATTAGTCTCAGCATTGTTAAATTACATGTAAATTAATAATACAGGTAAAAAGCATGTAACTGACAATAATTATACATTAGACAAATACATGTAATCCAGTTAATAAAATATAAAAAAAAAAAAAAATGTTAGTGTGCATGTTCACACACACACTGCTTAACTTCTACACAACTGTAGCCTGACCGACTTCTTTGAAAAAATGCACATGTATCTCCTCGTTCATGTAATTCTATTCCATGAAAATAAAAGTTTTCATTTACAAATATTGTAATAAAGCATGGAAACCTCTTTTTTCTTTACCTCTTTCATAAAATGACAAATGCATATCACCTACATACTGCAAGACTCTGCATTAGGTAGCATAGCTGCACTAAGCAGTGTTGATAACTTATTGCCATTCTACTTTCACTTTGACCTTGAACTTCACTGAATACTGATTCCGACCTCATTTCTGAACTTTTGTGTATTGATGATAATCAATAGTGGTGGATGTACTTCTAAAATAATTGTTCCTTTTCTAAATATCTATTAATGGCTCGGAATTAATAAATTGTATAGAATCGATACATTTAATTTACATGCTACATGTGTACACAATGGGAGATATGCGCATAAGCTGTCTGTTCCTAAAGGGGGGGGGGGGGAGGGGTATTAACAAATCGATTTGTTTCAAAATATGTATAAACAAATTAAAATTTGCTTCTTTCATAAATTTAAACAATTGGAAATGATAGTAAACACCGAGTTCAAAACAAAGTAAAGATCTATGAGAATTTTCTCTTACCAATAGGCTTCACATATTGAAAAGAATTTTCTGGATTTTACAACATTTAACATCATAAGTCATACTACAGACTATGTAGTGACATTATGCCAAATTTCAGGAAAATTCAATCATTAATAAAGATTTTACAGCATGCACAGTTCTATATGCAAAATTCTTTTAAAATGCTTCCATCTAGCCTCAACTGCACCCAAATTTTAAGTCATCGGTTAGCCTATTAATGTACTTATACCATTTTTATTCTCTTTCATAATTTTAAATACATCAAGCAAAATCATAATCAAGCACTCATACGGGTCCATTTCTCTTATTTTAAAAAATCAATGCATTTTTGCACAAAATTTTATATCCCTCACCCTTGAATTCATTATTTCTCCATGATTGACAAAAAAATTAAGTTTACAAATACCCCGAAAGTAGTAAAAATAGAAAGTACTGATTATTTCCTGTCCATTGATGCATCATTCAGGAAAATTGGTATAGGAATAAAGAAATTATAAGCCCTTATATTCTTGTAAACATTCATCTGTTTCAAAGCAATTTTTACGCCAATGCAAGGTCACTCATCTATGACGTCATAATGACATCATAATAATGGATTGCTTATTACACATGTAGTGTTACTTTTCCCGTACTTTTAATTAAAGTTGAAATTAGAACTAAAATATTCATTTTAACTATAAAATAACAAAAATACTTGCATGAGCAGATCAAATAAATAGTCTACAGAAAATGTTTTGTTTCCATGGTAACCATTTTGTAATTTGTAGGAAAATGAAAGAGAACTTTGAAAGTTTTGAATTTCCTTACAAGTCTCTCATTCTGACTGACAAATATTAAAGAAATTTCAACTCTTATATTTTTTAATCTTAATATTTTATCATACACAACACTATGAATGTAACTGTTTTGAAATTCTCTTTAAAACATATTAGCTGTAAAATATATAGCATACATGTACAGATTAGTTTGATGTTCACTTTCATTGCTCAAATATTCATTTGAAATCTACATTTATTAAGCTTTAACACCCCCCCCCCCTCCTCCCGCACACACACACATACACACAAAGAAGCTTTAGAAAATTCAACTTACATATTAAAAGTACTGCCATCATTTTATATATGAAGACTCAAGCTGTGTTCAAATGAGTTTGTTTTTCCTGACTGATAGTTTTAAACACTATCTGCATGAACCTCAAAGTTAACCTGTATCACCATGAACCTAAAAAAAAATCAATTTAAAAAATGGTGCAATAATTAATCAGCATCAAAAAGCACCTAAAACATTCACAGACAGACATCAAACACACACAATCCTACAACATTCCCTGATGCCCTTAATTTGATATCAATTGAAAATTATGAATTTGCACTGATTAGTCTCAGCATTGTTAAATTACATGTAAATTAATAATACAGGTAAAAAGCATGTAACTGACAATAATTATACATTAGACAAATACATGTAATCCAGTTAATAAAATATAAAAAAAAAAAAAAATGTTAGTGTGCATGTTCACACACACACTTGCTTAACTTCTACACAACTGTAGCCTGACCGACTTCTTTGAAAAAATGCACATGTATCTCCTCGTTCATGTAATTCTATTCCATGAAAATAAAAGTTTTCATTTACAAATATTGTAATAAAGCATGGAAACCTCTTTTTTCTTTACCTCTTTCATAAAATGACAAATGCATATCACCTACATACTGCAAGACTCTGCATTAGGTAGCATAGCTGCACTAAGCAGTGTTGATAACTTATTGCCATTCTACTTTCACTTTGACCTTGAACTTCACTGAATACTGATTCCGACCTCATTTCTGAACTTTTGTGTATTGATGATAATCAATAGTGGTGGATGTACTTCTAAAATAATTGTTCCTTTTCTAAATATCTATTAATGGCTCGGAATTAATAAATTGTATAGAATCGATACATTTAATTTACATGCTACATGTGTACACAATGGGAGATATGCGCATAAGCTGTCTGTTCCTAAAGGGGGGGGGGGGGAGGGGTATTAACAAATCGATTTGTTTCAAAATATGTATAAACAAATTAAAATTTGCTTCTTTCATAAATTTAAACAATTGGAAATGATAGTAAACACCGAGTTCAAAACAAAGTAAAGATCTATGAGAATTTTCTCTTACCAATAGGCTTCACATATTGGGTACAGCCCACTAATTGTTTTCCCATAGGCGGCAATGTTAACATTTCTTCACATAGCAATGTCCCTAATTTTCGTTCAGCATTGAGTGACCCCTCAAATCAAAGCACATCAAGTTGTCTTTTCTTGGTTAAAATCTCGAGGTGGCATGTCAGATTCGTTTTCCGGCAAAATGCGTCTGTCTGCGTTAACCTCTGAAAATGAAAGTGAAAGTAGGGGATTTCAAGACTTCTCACTGGTGTTATAATACATAAAATAATTCTGCTGATCTTCTTGATAAATTACATCTGCCAAGCTTTTTTGCAAGGGAACATACTCCTTATCAACAAGTATGAGGCTCAGTTTAATACCTTATCACAGTTTTTTTTTACTCAGGTCTGCAAATTAAAGAACTTGTAATTTTTTCTGCACTACTTTCTTCTCCTACCGATTCTAAAAATAATTAGAGGTATGTACCCAATATGAAAAGAATTTTCTGGATTTTACAACATTTAACATCATAAGTCATACTACAGACTATGTAGTGACATTATGCCAAATTTCAGGAAAATTCAATCATTAATAAAGATTTTACAGCATGCACAGTTCTATATGCAAAATTCTTTTAAAATGCTTCCATCTAGCCTCAACTGCACCCAAATTTTAAGTCATCGGTTAGCCTATTAATGTACTTATACCATTTTTATTCTCTTTCATAATTTTAAATACATCAAGCAAAATCATAATCAAGCACTCATACGGGTCCATTTCTCTTATTTTAAAAAATCAATGCATTTTTGCACAAAATTTTATATCCCTCACCCTTGAATTCATTATTTCTCCATGATTGACAAAAAAATTAAGTTTACAAATACCCCGAAAGTAGTAAAAATAGAAAGTACTGATTATTTCCTGTCCATTGATGCATCATTCAGGAAAATTGGTATAGGAATAAAGAAATTATAAGCCCTTATATTCTTGTAAACATTCATCTGTTTCAAAGCAATTTTTACGCCAATGCAAGGTCACTCATCTATGACGTCATAATGACATCATAATAATGGATTGCTTATTACACATGTAGTGTTACTTTTCCCGTACTTTTAATTAAAGTTGAAATTAGAACTAAAATATTCATTTTAACTATAAAATAACAAAAATACTTGCATGAGCAGATCAAATAAATAGTCTACAGAAAATGTTTTGTTTCCATGGTAACCATTTTGTAATTTGTAGGAAAATGAAAGAGAACTTTGAAAGTTTTGAATTTCCTTACAAGTCTCTCATTCTGACTGACAAATATTAAAGAAATTTCAACTCTTATATTTTTTAATCTTAATATTTTATCATACACAACACTATGAATGTAACTGTTTTGAAATTCTCTTTAAAACATATTAGCTGTAAAATATATAGCATACATGTACAGATTAGTTTGATGTTCACTTTCATTGCTCAAATATTCATTTGAAATCTACATTTATTAAGCTTTAACACCCCCCCCCCCTCCTCCCGCACACACACACATACACACAAAGAAGCTTTAGAAAATTCAACTTACATATTAAAAGTACTGCCATCATTTTATATATGAAGACTCAAGCTGTGTTCAAATGAGTTTGTTTTTCCTGACTGATAGTTTTAAACACTATCTGCATGAACCTCAAAGTTAACCTGTATCACCATGAACCTAAAAAAAAATCAATTTAAAAAATGGTGCAATAATTAATCAGCATCAAAAAGCACCTAAAACATTCACAGACAGACATCAAACACACACAATCCTACAACATTCCCTGATGCCCTTAATTTGATATCAATTGAAAATTATGAATTTGCACTGATTAGTCTCAGCATTGTTAAATTACATGTAAATTAATAATACAGGTAAAAAGCATGTAACTGACAATAATTATACATTAGACAAATACATGTAATCCAGTTAATAAAATATAAAAAAAAAAAAAAATGTTAGTGTGCATGTTCACACACACACTGCTTAACTTCTACACAACTGTAGCCTGACCGACTTCTTTGAAAAAATGCACATGTATCTCCTCGTTCATGTAATTCTATTCCATGAAAATAAAAGTTTTCATTTACAAATATTGTAATAAAGCATGGAAACCTCTTTTTTCTTTACCTCTTTCATAAAATGACAAATGCATATCACCTACATACTGCAAGACTCTGCATTAGGTAGCATAGCTGCACTAAGCAGTGTTGATAACTTATTGCCATTCTACTTTCACTTTGACCTTGAACTTCACTGAATACTGATTCCGACCTCATTTCTGAACTTTTGTGTATTGATGATAATCAATAGTGGTGGATGTACTTCTAAAATAATTGTTCCTTTTCTAAATATCTATTAATGGCTCGGAATTAATATATTGTATAGAATCGATACATTTAATTTACATGCTACATGTGTACACAATGGGAGATATGCGCATAAGCTGTCTGTTCCTAAAGGGGGGGGGGGGAGGGGTATTAACAAATCGATTTGTTTCAAAATATGTATAAACAAATTAAAATTTGCTTCTTTCATAAATTTAAACAATTGGAAATGATAGTAAACACCGAGTTCAAAACAAAGTAAAGATCTATGAGAATTTTCTCTTACCAATAGGCTTCACATATTGGGTACAGCCCACTAATTGTTTTCCCATAGGCGGCAATGTTAACATTTCTTCACATAGCAATGTCCCTAATTTTCGTTCAGCATTGAGTGACCCCTCAAATCAAAGCACATCAAGTTGTCTTTTCTTGGTTAAAATCTCGAGGTGGCATGTCAGATTCGTTTTCCGGCAAAATGCGTCTGTCTGCGTTAACCTCTGAAAATGAAAGTGAAAGTAGGGGATTTCAAGACTTCTCACTGGTGTTATAATACATAAAATAATTCTGCTGATCTTCTTGATAAATTACATCTGCCAAGCTTTTTTGCAAGGGAACATACTCCTTATCAACAAGTATGAGGCTCAGTTTAATACCTTATCACAGTTTTTTTTTACTCAGGTCTGCAAATTAAAGAACTTGTAATTTTTTCTGCACTACTTTCTTCTCCTACCGATTCTAAAAATAATTAGAGGTATGTACCCAATATGAAAAGAATTTTCTGGATTTTACAACATTTAACATCATAAGTCATACTACAGACTATGTAGTGACATTATGCCAAATTTCAGGAAAATTCAATCATTAATAAAGATTTTACAGCATGCACAGTTCTATATGCAAAATTCTTTTAAAATGCTTCCATCTAGCCTCAACTGCACCCAAATTTTAAGTCATCGGTTAGCCTATTAATGTACTTATACCATTTTTATTCTCTTTCATAATTTTAAATACATCAAGCAAAATCATAATCAAGCACTCATACGGGTCCATTTCTCTTATTTTAAAAAATCAATGCATTTTTGCACAAAATTTTATATCCCTCACCCTTGAATTCATTATTTCTCCATGATTGACAAAAAAATTAAGTTTACAAATACCCCGAAAGTAGTAAAAATAGAAAGTACTGATTATTTCCTGTCCATTGATGCATCATTCAGGAAAATTGGTATAGGAATAAAGAAATTATAAGCCCTTATATTCTTGTAAACATTCATCTGTTTCAAAGCAATTTTTACGCCAATGCAAGGTCACTCATCTATGACGTCATAATGACATCATAATAATGGATTGCTTATTACACATGTAGTGTTACTTTTCCCGTACTTTTAATTAAAGTTGAAATTAGAACTAAAATATTCATTTTAACTATAAAATAACAAAAATACTTGCATGAGCAGATCAAATAAATAGTCTACAGAAAATGTTTTGTTTCCATGGTAACCATTTTGTAATTTGTAGGAAAATGAAAGAGAACTTTGAAAGTTTTGAATTTCCTTACAAGTCTCTCATTCTGACTGACAAATATTAAAGAAATTTCAACTCTTATATTTTTTAATCTTAATATTTTATCATACACAACACTATGAATGTAACTGTTTTGAAATTCTCTTTAAAACATATTAGCTGTAAAATATATAGCATACATGTACAGATTAGTTTGATGTTCACTTTCATTGCTCAAATATTCATTTGAAATCTACATTTATTAAGCTTTAACACCCCCCCCCCCCTCCTCCCGCACACACACACATACACACAAAGAAGCTTTAGAAAATTCAACTTACATATTAAAAGTACTGCCATCATTTTATATATGAAGACTCAAGCTGTGTTCAAATGAGTTTGTTTTTCCTGACTGATAGTTTTAAACACCATCTGCATGAACCTCAAAGTTAACCTGTATCACCATGAACCTAAAAAAAAATCAATTTAAAAAATGGTGCAATAATTAATCAGCATCAAAAAGCACCTAAAACATTCACAGACAGACATCAAACACACACAATCCTACAACATTCCCTGATGCCCTTAATTTGATATCAATTGAAAATTATGAATTTGCACTGATTAGTCTCAGCATTGTTAAATTACATGTAAATTAATAATACAGGTAAAAAGCATGTAACTGACAATAATTATACATTAGACAAATACATGTAATCCAGTTAATAAAATATAAAAAAAAAAAAAAATGTTAGTGTGCATGTTCACACACACACTGCTTAACTTCTACACAACTGTAGCCTGACCGACTTCTTTGAAAAAATGCACATGTATCTCCTCGTTCATGTAATTCTATTCCATGAAAATAAAAGTTTTCATTTACAAATATTGTAATAAAGCATGGAAACCTCTTTTTTCTTTACCTCTTTCATAAAATGACAAATGCATATCACCTACATACTGCAAGACTCTGCATTAGGTAGCATAGCTGCACTAAGCAGTGTTGATAACTTATTGCCATTCTACTTTCACTTTGACCTTGAACTTCACTGAATACTGATTCCGACCTCATTTCTGAACTTTTGTGTATTGATGATAATCAATAGTGGTGGATGTACTTCTAAAATAATTGTTCCTTTTCTAAATATCTATTAATGGCTCGGAATTAATATATTGTATAGAATCGATACATTTAATTTACATGCTACATGTGTACACAATGGGAGATATGCGCATAAGCTGTCTGTTCCTAAAGGGGGGGGGGGGAGGGGTATTAACAAATCGATTTGTTTCAAAATATGTATAAACAAATTAAAATTTGCTTCTTTCATAAATTTAAACAATTGGAAATGATAGTAAACACCGAGTTCAAAACAAAGTAAAGATCTATGAGAATTTTCTCTTACCAATAGGCTTCACATATTGGGTACAGCCCACTAATTGTTTTCCCATAGGCGGCAATGTTAACATTTCTTCACATAGCAATGTCCCTAATTTTCGTTCAGCATTGAGTGACCCCTCAAATCAAAGCACATCAAGTTGTCTTTTCTTGGTTAAAATCTCGAGGTGGCATGTCAGATTCGTTTTCCGGCAAAATGCGTCTGTCTGCGTTAACCTCTGAAAATGAAAGTGAAAGTAGGGGATTTCAAGACTTCTCACTGGTGTTATAATACATAAAATAATTCTGCTGATCTTCTTGATAAATTACATCTGCCAAGCTTTTTTGCAAGGGAACATACTCCTTATCAACAAGTATGAGGCTCAGTTTAATACCTTATCACAGTTTTTTTTTACTCAGGTCTGCAAATTAAAGAACTTGTAATTTTTTCTGCACTACTTTCTTCTCCTACCGATTCTAAAAATAATTAGAGGTATGTACCCAATATGAAAAGAATTTTCTGGATTTTACAACATTTAACATCATAAGTCATACTACAGACTATGTAGTGACATTATGCCAAATTTCAGGAAAATTCAATCATTAATAAAGATTTTACAGCATGCACAGTTCTATATGCAAAATTCTTTTAAAATGCTTCCATCTAGCCTCAACTGCACCCAAATTTTAAGTCATCGGTTAGCCTATTAATGTACTTATACCATTTTTATTCTCTTTCATAATTTTAAATACATCAAGCAAAATCATAATCAAGCACTCATACGGGTCCATTTCTCTTATTTTAAAAAATCAATGCATTTTTGCACAAAATTTTATATCCCTCACCCTTGAATTCATTATTTCTCCATGATTGACAAAAAAATTAAGTTTACAAATACCCCGAAAGTAGTAAAAATAGAAAGTACTGATTATTTCCTGTCCATTGATGCATCATTCAGGAAAATTGGTATAGGAATAAAGAAATTATAAGCCCTTATATTCTTGTAAACATTCATCTGTTTCAAAGCAATTTTTACGCCAATGCAAGGTCACTCATCTATGACGTCATAATGACATCATAATAATGGATTGCTTATTACACATGTAGTGTTACTTTTCCCGTACTTTTAATTAAAGTTGAAATTAGAACTAAAATATTCATTTTAACTATAAAATAACAAAAATACTTGCATGAGCAGATCAAATAAATAGTCTACAGAAAATGTTTTGTTTCCATGGTAACCATTTTGTAATTTGTAGGAAAATGAAAGAGAACTTTGAAAGTTTTGAATTTCCTTACAAGTCTCTCATTCTGACTGACAAATATTAAAGAAATTTCAACTCTTATATTTTTTAATCTTAATATTTTATCATACACAACACTATGAATGTAACTGTTTTGAAATTCTCTTTAAAACATATTAGCTGTAAAATATATAGCATACATGTACAGATTAGTTTGATGTTCACTTTCATTGCTCAAATATTCATTTGAAATCTACATTTATTAAGCTTTAACACCCCCCCCCCCTCCTCCCGCACACACACACATACACACAAAGAAGCTTTAGAAAATTCAACTTACATATTAAAAGTACTGCCATCATTTTATATATGAAGACTCAAGCTGTGTTCAAATGAGTTTGTTTTTCCTGACTGATAGTTTTAAACACCATCTGCATGAACCTCAAAGTTAACCTGTATCACCATGAACCTAAAAAAAAATCAATTTAAAAAATGGTGCAATAATTAATCAGCATCAAAAAGCACCTAAAACATTCACAGACAGACATCAAACACACACAATCCTACAACATTCCCTGATGCCCTTAATTTGATATCAATTGAAAATTATGAATTTGCACTGATTAGTCTCAGCATTGTTAAATTACATGTAAATTAATAATACAGGTAAAAAGCATGTAACTGACAATAATTATACATTAGACAAATACATGTAATCCAGTTAATAAAATATAAAAAAAAAAAAAATGTTAGTGTGCATGTTCACACACACACTGCTTAACTTCTACACAACTGTAGCCTGACCGACTTCTTTGAAAAAATGCACATGTATCTCCTCGTTCATGTAATTCTATTCCATGAAAATAAAAGTTTTCATTTACAAATATTGTAATAAAGCATGGAAACCTCTTTTTTCTTTACCTCTTTCATAAAATGACAAATGCATATCACCTACATACTGCAAGACTCTGCATTAGGTAGCATAGCTGCACTAAGCAGTGTTGATAACTTATTGCCATTCTACTTTCACTTTGACCTTGAACTTCACTGAATACTGATTCCGACCTCATTTCTGAACTTTTGTGTATTGATGATAATCAATAGTGGTGGATGTACTTCTAAAATAATTGTTCCTTTTCTAAATATCTATTAATGGCTCGGAATTAATAAATTGTATAGAATCGATACATTTAATTTACATGCTACATGTGTACACAATGGGAGATATGCGCATAAGCTGTCTGTTCCTAAAGGGGGGGGGGGGGGAGGGGTATTAACAAATCGATTTGTTTCAAAATATGTATAAACAAATTAAAATTTGCTTCTTTCATAAATTTAAACAATTGGAAATGATAGTAAACACCGAGTTCAAAACAAAGTAAAGATCTATGAGAATTTTCTCTTACCAATAGGCTTCACATATTGGGTACAGCCCACTAATTGTTTTCCCATAGGCGGCAATGTTAACATTTCTTCACATAGCAATGTCCCTAATTTTCGTTCAGCATTGAGTGACCCCTCAAATCAAAGCACATCAAGTTGTCTTTTCTTGGTTAAAATCTCGAGGTGGCATGTCAGATTCGTTTTCCGGCAAAATGCGTCTGTCTGCGTTAACCTCTGAAAATGAAAGTGAAAGTAGGGGATTTCAAGACTTCTCACTGGTGTTATAATACATAAAATAATTCTGCTGATCTTCTTGATAAATTACATCTGCCAAGCTTTTTTGCAAGGGAACATACTCCTTATCAACAAGTATGAGGCTCAGTTTAATACCTTATCACAGTTTTTTTTTACTCAGGTCTGCAAATTAAAGAACTTGTAATTTTTTTCTGCACTACTTTCTTCTCCTACCGATTCTAAAAATAATTAGAGGTATGTACCCAATATGAAAAGAATTTTCTGGATTTTACAACATTTAACATCATAAGTCATACTACAGACTATGTAGTGACATTATGCCAAATTTCAGGAAAATTCAATCATTAATAAAGATTTTACAGCATGCACAGTTCTATATGCAAAATTCTTTTAAAATGCTTCCATCTAGCCTCAACTGCACCCAAATTTTAAGTCATCGGTTAGCCTATTAATGTACTTATACCATTTTTATTCTCTTTCATAATTTTAAATACATCAAGCAAAATCATAATCAAGCACTCATACGGGTCCATTTCTCTTATTTTAAAAAATCAATGCATTTTTGCACAAAATTTTATATCCCTCACCCTTGAATTCATTATTTCTCCATGATTGACAAAAAAATTAAGTTTACAAATACCCCGAAAGTAGTAAAAATAGAAAGTACTGATTATTTCCTGTCCATTGATGCATCATTCAGGAAAATTGGTATAGGAATAAAGAAATTATAAGCCCTTATATTCTTGTAAACATTCATCTGTTTCAAAGCAATTTTTACGCCAATGCAAGGTCACTCATCTATGACGTCATAATGACATCATAATAATGGATTGCTTATTACACATGTAGTGTTACTTTTCCCGTACTTTTAATTAAAGTTGAAATTAGAACTAAAATATTCATTTTAACTATAAAATAACAAAAATACTTGCATGAGCAGATCAAATAAATAGTCTACAGAAAATGTTTTGTTTCCATGGTAACCATTTTGTAATTTGTAGGAAAATGAAAGAGAACTTTGAAAGTTTTGAATTTCCTTACAAGTCTCTCATTCTGACTGACAAATATTAAAGAAATTTCAACTCTTATATTTTTTAATCTTAATATTTTATCATACACAACACTATGAATGTAACTGTTTTGAAATTCTCTTTAAAACATATTAGCTGTAAAATATATAGCATACATGTACAGATTAGTTTGATGTTCACTTTCATTGCTCAAATATTCATTTGAAATCTACATTTATTAAGCTTTAACACCCCCCCCCCCCTCCTCCCGCACACACACACATACACACAAAGAAGCTTTAGAAAATTCAACTTACATATTAAAAGTACTGCCATCATTTTATATATGAAGACTCAAGCTGTGTTCAAATGAGTTTGTTTTTCCTGACTGATAGTTTTAAACACCATCTGCATGAACCTCAAAGTTAACCTGTATCACCATGAACCTAAAAAAAAATCAATTTAAAAAATGGTGCAATAATTAATCAGCATCAAAAAGCACCTAAAACATTCACAGACAGACATCAAACACACACAATCCTACAACATTCCCTGATGCCCTTAATTTGATATCAATTGAAAATTATGAATTTGCACTGATTAGTCTCAGCATTGTTAAATTACATGTAAATTAATAATACAGGTAAAAAGCATGTAACTGACAATAATTATACATTAGACAAATACATGTAATCCAGTTAATAAAATATAAAAAAAAAAAATGTTAGTGTGCATGTTCACACACACACTGCTTAACTTCTACACAACTGTAGCCTGACCGACTTCTTTGAAAAAATGCACATGTATCTCCTCGTTCATGTAATTCTATTCCATGAAAATAAAAGTTTTCATTTACAAATATTGTAATAAAGCATGGAAACCTCTTTTTTCTTTACCTCTTTCATAAAATGACAAATGCATATCACCTACATACTGCAAGACTCTGCATTAGGTAGCATAGCTGCACTAAGCAGTGTTGATAACTTATTGCCATTCTACTTTCACTTTGACCTTGAACTTCACTGAATACTGATTCCGACCTCATTTCTGAACTTTTGTGTATTGATGATAATCAATAGTGGTGGATGTACTTCTAAAATAATTGTTCCTTTTCTAAATATCTATTAATGGCTCGGAATTAATAAATTGTATAGAATCGATACATTTAATTTACATGCTACATGTGTACACAATGGGAGATATGCGCATAAGCTGTCTGTTCCTAAAGGGGGGGGGGGGAGGGGTATTAACAAATCGATTTGTTTCAAAATATGTATAAACAAATTAAAATTTGCTTCTTTCATAAATTTAAACAATTGGAAATGATAGTAAACACCGAGTTCAAAACAAAGTAAAGATCTATGAGAATTTTCTCTTACCAATAGGCTTCACATATTGAAAAGAATTTTCTGGATTTTACAACATTTAACATCATAAGTCATACTACAGACTATGTAGTGACATTATGCCAAATTTCAGGAAAATTCAATCATTAATAAAGATTTTACAGCATGCACAGTTCTATATGCAAAATTCTTTTAAAATGCTTCCATCTAGCCTCAACTGCACCCAAATTTTAAGTCATCGGTTAGCCTATTAATGTACTTATACCATTTTTATTCTCTTTCATAATTTTAAATACATCAAGCAAAATCATAATCAAGCACTCATACGGGTCCATTTCTCTTATTTTAAAAAATCAATGCATTTTTGCACAAAATTTTATATCCCTCACCCTTGAATTCATTATTTCTCCATGATTGACAAAAAAATTAAGTTTACAAATACCCCGAAAGTAGTAAAAATAGAAAGTACTGATTATTTCCTGTCCATTGATGCATCATTCAGGAAAATTGGTATAGGAATAAAGAAATTATAAGCCCTTATATTCTTGTAAACATTCATCTGTTTCAAAGCAATTTTTACGCCAATGCAAGGTCACTCATCTATGACGTCATAATGACATCATAATAATGGATTGCTTATTACACATGTAGTGTTACTTTTCCCGTACTTTTAATTAAAGTTGAAATTAGAACTAAAATATTCATTTTAACTATAAAATAACAAAAATACTTGCATGAGCAGATCAAATAAATAGTCTACAGAAAATGTTTTGTTTCCATGGTAACCATTTTGTAATTTGTAGGAAAATGAAAGAGAACTTTGAAAGTTTTGAATTTCCTTACAAGTCTCTCATTCTGACTGACAAATATTAAAGAAATTTCAACTCTTATATTTTTTAATCTTAATATTTTATCATACACAACACTATGAATGTAACTGTTTTGAAATTCTCTTTAAAACATATTAGCTGTAAAATATATAGCATACATGTACAGATTAGTTTGATGTTCACTTTCATTGCTCAAATATTCATTTGAAATCTACATTTATTAAGCTTTAACACCCCCCCCCCCCTCCTCCCGCACACACACACATACACACAAAGAAGCTTTAGAAAATTCAACTTACATATTAAAAGTACTGCCATCATTTTATATATGAAGACTCAAGCTGTGTTCAAATGAGTTTGTTTTTCCTGACTGATAGTTTTAAACACCATCTGCATGAACCTCAAAGTTAACCTGTATCACCATGAACCTAAAAAAAAATCAATTTAAAAAATGGTGCAATAATTAATCAGCATCAAAAAGCACCTAAAACATTCACAGACAGACATCAAACACACACAATCCTACAACATTCCCTGATGCCCTTAATTTGATATCAATTGAAAATTATGAATTTGCACTGATTAGTCTCAGCATTGTTAAATTACATGTAAATTAATAATACAGGTAAAAAGCATGTAACTGACAATAATTATACATTAGACAAATACATGTAATCCAGTTAATAAAATATAAAAAAAAAAAATGTTAGTGTGCATGTTCACACACACACTGCTTAACTTCTACACAACTGTAGCCTGACCGACTTCTTTGAAAAAATGCACATGTATCTCCTCGTTCATGTAATTCTATTCCATGAAAATAAAAGTTTTCATTTACAAATATTGTAATAAAGCATGGAAACCTCTTTTTTCTTTACCTCTTTCATAAAATGACAAATGCATATCACCTACATACTGCAAGACTCTGCATTAGGTAGCATAGCTGCACTAAGCAGTGTTGATAACTTATTGCCATTCTACTTTCACTTTGACCTTGAACTTCACTGAATACTGATTCCGACCTCATTTCTGAACTTTTGTGTATTGATGATAATCAATAGTGGTGGATGTACTTCTAAAATAATTGTTCCTTTTCTAAATATCTATTAATGGCTCGGAATTAATAAATTGTATAGAATCGATACATTTAATTTACATGCTACATGTGTACACAATGGGAGATATGCGCATAAGCTGTCTGTTCCTAAAGGGGGGGGGGGGAGGGGTATTAACAAATCGATTTGTTTCAAAATATGTATAAACAAATTAAAATTTGCTTCTTTCATAAATTTAAACAATTGGAAATGATAGTAAACACCGAGTTCAAAACAAAGTAAAGATCTATGAGAATTTTCTCTTACCAATAGGCTTCACATATTGAAAAGAATTTTCTGGATTTTACAACATTTAACATCATAAGTCATACTACAGACTATGTAGTGACATTATGCCAAATTTCAGGAAAATTCAATCATTAATAAAGATTTTACAGCATGCACAGTTCTATATGCAAAATTCTTTTAAAATGCTTCCATCTAGCCTCAACTGCACCCAAATTTTAAGTCATCGGTTAGCCTATTAATGTACTTATACCATTTTTATTCTCTTTCATAATTTTAAATACATCAAGCAAAATCATAATCAAGCACTCATACGGGTCCATTTCTCTTATTTTAAAAAATCAATGCATTTTTGCACAAAATTTTATATCCCTCACCCTTGAATTCATTATTTCTCCATGATTGACAAAAAAATTAAGTTTACAAATACCCCGAAAGTAGTAAAAATAGAAAGTACTGATTATTTCCTGTCCATTGATGCATCATTCAGGAAAATTGGTATAGGAATAAAGAAATTATAAGCCCTTATATTCTTGTAAACATTCATCTGTTTCAAAGCAATTTTTACGCCAATGCAAGGTCACTCATCTATGACGTCATAATGACATCATAATAATGGATTGCTTATTACACATGTAGTGTTACTTTTCCCGTACTTTTAATTAAAGTTGAAATTAGAACTAAAATATTCATTTTAACTATAAAATAACAAAAATACTTGCATGAGCAGATCAAATAAATAGTCTACAGAAAATGTTTTGTTTCCATGGTAACCATTTTGTAATTTGTAGGAAAATGAAAGAGAACTTTGAAAGTTTTGAATTTCCTTACAAGTCTCTCATTCTGACTGACAAATATTAAAGAAATTTCAACTCTTATATTTTTTAATCTTAATATTTTATCATACACAACACTATGAATGTAACTGTTTTGAAATTCTCTTTAAAACATATTAGCTGTAAAATATATAGCATACATGTACAGATTAGTTTGATGTTCACTTTCATTGCTCAAATATTCATTTGAAATCTACATTTATTAAGCTTTAACACCCCCCCCCTCCTCCCGCACACACACACATACACACAAAGAAGCTTTAGAAAATTCAACTTACATATTAAAAGTACTGCCATCATTTTATATATGAAGACTCAAGCTGTGTTCAAATGAGTTTGTTTTTCCTGACTGATAGTTTTAAACACCATCTGCATGAACCTCAAAGTTAACCTGTATCACCATGAACCTAAAAAAAAATCAATTTAAAAAATGGTGCAATAATTAATCAGCATCAAAAAGCACCTAAAACATTCACAGACAGACATCAAACACACACAATCCTACAACATTCCCTGATGCCCTTAATTTGATATCAATTGAAAATTATGAATTTGCACTGATTAGTCTCAGCATTGTTAAATTACATGTAAATTAATAATACAGGTAAAAAGCATGTAACTGACAATAATTATACATTAGACAAATACATGTAATCCAGTTAATAAAATATAAAAAAAAAAAATGTTAGTGTGCATGTTCACACACACACTGCTTAACTTCTACACAACTGTAGCCTGACCGACTTCTTTGAAAAAATGCACATGTATCTCCTCGTTCATGTAATTCTATTCCATGAAAATAAAAGTTTTCATTTACAAATATTGTAATAAAGCATGGAAACCTCTTTTTTCTTTACCTCTTTCATAAAATGACAAATGCATATCACCTACATACTGCAAGACTCTGCATTAGGTAGCATAGCTGCACTAAGCAGTGTTGATAACTTATTGCCATTCTACTTTCACTTTGACCTTGAACTTCACTGAATACTGATTCCGACCTCATTTCTGAACTTTTGTGTATTGATGATAATCAATAGTGGTGGATGTACTTCTAAAATAATTGTTCCTTTTCTAAATATCTATTAATGGCTCGGAATTAATAAATTGTATAGAATCGATACATTTAATTTACATGCTACATGTGTACACAATGGGAGATATGCGCATAAGCTGTCTGTTCCTAAAGGGGGGGGGGGGAGGGGTATTAACAAATCGATTTGTTTCAAAATATGTATAAACAAATTAAAATTTGCTTCTTTCATAAATTTAAACAATTGGAAATGATAGTAAACACCGAGTTCAAAACAAAGTAAAGATCTATGAGAATTTTCTCTTACCAATAGGCTTCACATATTGAAAAGAATTTTCTGGATTTTACAACATTTAACATCATAAGTCATACTACAGACTATGTAGTGACATTATGCCAAATTTCAGGAAAATTCAATCATTAATAAAGATTTTACAGCATGCACAGTTCTATATGCAAAATTCTTTTAAAATGCTTCCATCTAGCCTCAACTGCACCCAAATTTTAAGTCATCGGTTAGCCTATTAATGTACTTATACCATTTTTATTCTCTTTCATAATTTTAAATACATCAAGCAAAATCATAATCAAGCACTCATACGGGTCCATTTCTCTTATTTTAAAAAATCAATGCATTTTTGCACAAAATTTTATATCCCTCACCCTTGAATTCATTATTTCTCCATGATTGACAAAAAAATTAAGTTTACAAATACCCCGAAAGTAGTAAAAATAGAAAGTACTGATTATTTCCTGTCCATTGATGCATCATTCAGGAAAATTGGTATAGGAATAAAGAAATTATAAGCCCTTATATTCTTGTAAACATTCATCTGTTTCAAAGCAATTTTTACGCCAATGCAAGGTCACTCATCTATGACGTCATAATGACATCATAATAATGGATTGCTTATTACACATGTAGTGTTACTTTTCCCGTACTTTTAATTAAAGTTGAAATTAGAACTAAAATATTCATTTTAACTATAAAATAACAAAAATACTTGCATGAGCAGATCAAATAAATAGTCTACAGAAAATGTTTTGTTTCCATGGTAACCATTTTGTAATTTGTAGGAAAATGAAAGAGAACTTTGAAAGTTTTGAATTTCCTTACAAGTCTCTCATTCTGACTGACAAATATTAAAGAAATTTCAACTCTTATATTTTTTAATCTTAATATTTTATCATACACAACACTATGAATGTAACTGTTTTGAAATTCTCTTTAAAACATATTAGCTGTAAAATATATAGCATACATGTACAGATTAGTTTGATGTTCACTTTCATTGCTCAAATATTCATTTGAAATCTACATTTATTAAGCTTTAACACCCCCCCCCCCTCCTCCCGCACACACACACATACACACAAAGAAGCTTTAGAAAATTCAACTTACATATTAAAAGTACTGCCATCATTTTATATATGAAGACTCAAGCTGTGTTCAAATGAGTTTGTTTTTCCTGACTGATAGTTTTAAACACTATCTGCATGAACCTCAAAGTTAACCTGTATCACCATGAACCTAAAAAAAAATCAATTTAAAAAATGGTGCAATAATTAATCAGCATCAAAAAGCACCTAAAACATTCACAGACAGACATCAAACACACACAATCCTACAACATTCCCTGATGCCCTTAATTTGATATCAATTGAAAATTATGAATTTGCACTGATTAGTCTCAGCATTGTTAAATTACATGTAAATTAATAATACAGGTAAAAAGCATGTAACTGACAATAATTATACATTAGACAAATACATGTAATCCAGTTAATAAAATATAAAAAAAAAAAAAAATGTTAGTGTGCATGTTCACACACACACTGCTTAACTTCTACACAACTGTAGCCTGACCGACTTCTTTGAAAAAATGCACATGTATCTCCTCGTTCATGTAATTCTATTCCATGAAAATAAAAGTTTTCATTTACAAATATTGTAATAAAGCATGGAAACCTCTTTTTTCTTTACCTCTTTCATAAAATGACAAATGCATATCACCTACATACTGCAAGACTCTGCATTAGGTAGCATAGCTGCACTAAGCAGTGTTGATAACTTATTGCCATTCTACTTTCACTTTGACCTTGAACTTCACTGAATACTGATTCCGACCTCATTTCTGAACTTTTGTGTATTGATGATAATCAATAGTGGTGGATGTACTTCTAAAATAATTGTTCCTTTTCTAAATATCTATTAATGGCTCGGAATTAATAAATTGTATAGAATCGATACATTTAATTTACATGCTACATGTGTACACAATGGGAGATATGCGCATAAGCTGTCTGTTCCTAAAGGGGGGGGGGGGAGGGGTATTAACAAATCGATTTGTTTCAAAATATGTATAAACAAATTAAAATTTGCTTCTTTCATAAATTTAAACAATTGGAAATGATAGTAAACACCGAGTTCAAAACAAAGTAAAGATCTATGAGAATTTTCTCTTACCAATAGGCTTCACATATTGGGTACAGCCCACTAATTGTTTTCCCATAGGCGGCAATGTTAACATTTCTTCACATAGCAATGTCCCTAATTTTCGTTCAGCATTGAGTGACCCCTCAAATCAAAGCACATCAAGTTGTCTTTTCTTGGTTAAAATCTCGAGGTGGCATGTCAGATTCGTTTTCCGGCAAAATGCGTCTGTCTGCGTTAACCTCTGAAAATGAAAGTGAAAGTAGGGGATTTCAAGACTTCTCACTGGTGTTATAATACATAAAATAATTCTGCTGATCTTCTTGATAAATTACATCTGCCAAGCTTTTTTGCAAGGGAACATACTCCTTATCAACAAGTATGAGGCTCAGTTTAATACCTTATCACAGTTTTTTTTTACTCAGGTCTGCAAATTAAAGAACTTGTAATTTTTTCTGCACTACTTTCTTCTCCTACCGATTCTAAAAATAATTAGAGGTATGTACCCAATATGAAAAGAATTTTCTGGATTTTACAACATTTAACATCATAAGTCATACTACAGACTATGTAGTGACATTATGCCAAATTTCAGGAAAATTCAATCATTAATAAAGATTTTACAGCATGCACAGTTCTATATGCAAAATTCTTTTAAAATGCTTCCATCTAGCCTCAACTGCACCCAAATTTTAAGTCATCGGTTAGCCTATTAATGTACTTATACCATTTTTATTCTCTTTCATAATTTTAAATACATCAAGCAAAATCATAATCAAGCACTCATACGGGTCCATTTCTCTTATTTTAAAAAATCAATGCATTTTTGCACAAAATTTTATATCCCTCACCCTTGAATTCATTATTTCTCCATGATTGACAAAAAAATTAAGTTTACAAATACCCCGAAAGTAGTAAAAATAGAAAGTACTGATTATTTCCTGTCCATTGATGCATCATTCAGGAAAATTGGTATAGGAATAAAGAAATTATAAGCCCTTATATTCTTGTAAACATTCATCTGTTTCAAAGCAATTTTTACGCCAATGCAAGGTCACTCATCTATGACGTCATAATGACATCATAATAATGGATTGCTTATTACACATGTAGTGTTACTTTTCCCGTACTTTTAATTAAAGTTGAAATTAGAACTAAAATATTCATTTTAACTATAAAATAACAAAAATACTTGCATGAGCAGATCAAATAAATAGTCTACAGAAAATGTTTTGTTTCCATGGTAACCATTTTGTAATTTGTAGGAAAATGAAAGAGAACTTTGAAAGTTTTGAATTTCCTTACAAGTCTCTCATTCTGACTGACAAATATTAAAGAAATTTCAACTCTTATATTTTTTAATCTTAATATTTTATCATACACAACACTATGAATGTAACTGTTTTGAAATTCTCTTTAAAACATATTAGCTGTAAAATATATAGCATACATGTACAGATTAGTTTGATGTTCACTTTCATTGCTCAAATATTCATTTGAAATCTACATTTATTAAGCTTTAACACCCCCCCCCCCCTCCTCCCGCACACACACACATACACACAAAGAAGCTTTAGAATATTCAACTTACATATTAAAAGTACTGCCATCATTTTATATATGAAGACTCAAGCTGTGTTCAAATGAGTTTGTTTTTCCTGACTGATAGTTTTAAACACTATCTGCATGAACCTCAAAGTTAACCTGTATCACCATGAACCTAAAAAAAAATCAATTTAAAAAATGGTGCAATAATTAATCAGCATCAAAAAGCACCTAAAACATTCACAGACAGACATCAAACACACACAATCCTACAACATTCCCTGATGCCCTTAATTTGATATCAATTGAAAATTATGAATTTGCACTGATTAGTCTCAGCATTGTTAAATTACATGTAAATTAATAATACAGGTAAAAAGCATGTAACTGACAATAATTATACATTAGACAAATACATGTAATCCAGTTAATAAAATATAAAAAAAAAAAAAAATGTTAGTGTGCATGTTCACACACACACTGCTTAACTTCTACACAACTGTAGCCTGACCGACTTCTTTGAAAAAATGCACATGTATCTCCTCGTTCATGTAATTCTATTCCATGAAAATAAAAGTTTTCATTTACAAATATTGTAATAAAGCATGGAAACCTCTTTTTTCTTTACCTCTTTCATAAAATGACAAATGCATATCACCTACATACTGCAAGACTCTGCATTAGGTAGCATAGCTGCACTAAGCAGTGTTGATAACTTATTGCCATTCTACTTTCACTTTGACCTTGAACTTCACTGAATACTGATTCCGACCTCATTTCTGAACTTTTGTGTATTGATGATAATCAATAGTGGTGGATGTACTTCTAAAATAATTGTTCCTTTTCTAAATATCTATTAATGGCTCGGAATTAATAAATTGTATAGAATCGATACATTTAATTTACATGCTACATGTGTACACAATGGGAGATATGCGCATAAGCTGTCTGTTCCTAAAGGGGGGGGGGGGGGAGGGGTATTAACAAATCGATTTGTTTCAAAATATGTATAAACAAATTAAAATTTGCTTCTTTCATAAATTTAAACAATTGGAAATGATAGTAAACACCGAGTTCAAAACAAAGTAAAGATCTATGAGAATTTTCTCTTACCAATAGGCTTCACATATTGGGTACAGCCCACTAATTGTTTTCCCATAGGCGGCAATGTTAACATTTCTTCACATAGCAATGTCCCTAATTTTCGTTCAGCATTGAGTGACCCCTCAAATCAAAGCACATCAAGTTGTCTTTTCTTGGTTAAAATCTCGAGGTGGCATGTCAGATTCGTTTTCCGGCAAAATGCGTCTGTCTGCGTTAACCTCTGAAAATGAAAGTGAAAGTAGGGGATTTCAAGACTTCTCACTGGTGTTATAATACATAAAATAATTCTGCTGATCTTCTTGATAAATTACATCTGCCAAGCTTTTTTGCAAGGGAACATACTCCTTATCAACAAGTATGAGGCTCAGTTTAATACCTTATCACAGTTTTTTTTTACTCAGGTCTGCAAATTAAAGAACTTGTAATTTTTTCTGCACTACTTTCTTCTCCTACCGATTCTAAAAATAATTAGAGGTATGTACCCAATATGAAAAGAATTTTCTGGATTTTACAACATTTAACATCATAAGTCATACTACAGACTATGTAGTGACATTATGCCAAATTTCAGGAAAATTCAATCATTAATAAAGATTTTACAGCATGCACAGTTCTATATGCAAAATTCTTTTAAAATGCTTCCATCTAGCCTCAACTGCACCCAAATTTTAAGTCATCGGTTAGCCTATTAATGTACTTATACCATTTTTATTCTCTTTCATAATTTTAAATACATCAAGCAAAATCATAATCAAGCACTCATACGGGTCCATTTCTCTTATTTTAAAAAATCAATGCATTTTTGCACAAAATTTTATATCCCTCACCCTTGAATTCATTATTTCTCCATGATTGACAAAAAAATTAAGTTTACAAATACCCCGAAAGTAGTAAAAATAGAAAGTACTGATTATTTCCTGTCCATTGATGCATCATTCAGGAAAATTGGTATAGGAATAAAGAAATTATAAGCCCTTATATTCTTGTAAACATTCATCTGTTTCAAAGCAATTTTTACGCCAATGCAAGGTCACTCATCTATGACGTCATAATGACATCATAATAATGGATTGCTTATTACACATGTAGTGTTACTTTTCCCGTACTTTTAATTAAAGTTGAAATTAGAACTAAAATATTCATTTTAACTATAAAATAACAAAAATACTTGCATGAGCAGATCAAATAAATAGTCTACAGAAAATGTTTTGTTTCCATGGTAACCATTTTGTAATTTGTAGGAAAATGAAAGAGAACTTTGAAAGTTTTGAATTTCCTTACAAGTCTCTCATTCTGACTGACAAATATTAAAGAAATTTCAACTCTTATATTTTTTAATCTTAATATTTTATCATACACAACACTATGAATGTAACTGTTTTGAAATTCTCTTTAAAACATATTAG